GCCCATAATGCTCCTGGAAGGGGAATTTGACTGTATTGTATGTAGGGGTGGCCGCGTTCCTCGATTCCCAGCCCTGACCTATATATTCCCCTCCTGGCTGTTACGCAGCCTCTGCTCATCCTTTCTGCCAGCACCCCACATCTCTTTGCACAGGGATTTTGGGACAGGATTACTTAGAGTTTCCCCACTCCTCTGCGTCTCTCACCTTAATAATTTTCCTCAAAACCTCCTGGTTTTTACCCCAGGATCCTAAATAGCCCTACAGATCCCTCTTTACACCCACCCCTAGGGCTTTCTGTATGGGAATGGTGCGGGATCGTCTTGGCTCCGGCCGATAGTAAACCTCTGGTTTTGTCCCCCCCCACCCCGGCCGTGTCACAGGATGCCGTTTCGCTACATCTTGGGGGAAGACGATGAGCCTCCCAACCCCACGCTCTTCACGGAGATGGACACGCTGCAGCACGATGGCGAGGAGATGGAGTGGAAAGAGTCGGCCAGGTGAGGAAAGGGGGAGCTGCTTTGGGTTGAAAAATATGTCGGGTAAAGATCCTCCCCCCCGCTGCCCAAAATATCGCTGAGTGGAAACAGGTTCAGGGAACGCGCGTTATTTTTAATGAGGTTAAAAAAGCCACGCCTGGATTAGGGAAATGCAGAAAACACGGCGGGTTTGGGGTCTTTGCGCGGCGGCTGCAGCCTGCCGAGGAGGAGGAGGAGGAAGGGAGGAAGATCTTCCCATCTTCCACATCCCCCCAGGTTGGATTGACCTCAGAGCTGGGGCTTTTCCCATTCCCAGTTGCAGCATGAAAGCAAAGTCCGGCAGAAATTGCTGGGATGGTGCAAAAAGCAGGGTAACGTGCTGGGAAACTGGAAAAATTACAGCAGAGAGCTGGGAGATGGGACTAGGTGGCATAAGGAACATTTTCCCACGTCTTTTTTTCCTCCCTGCTTTTGCTGGCTAGGCCAAGAGTTAACCTTCTCCTACCTCTCAAGCAGTCCTAATAAAACCCCACCCGTTACCTCTTTAATAAAAGTATTGGAGGAGTTGGAAGTGGCATTTACTTTATTGAATTAGGAGCTTATCCACGGGAAAAATCTGAAATCCAAGTGGGATTTTCTCTTCCTAGCCTAGTGTAAGGGCTAGCAGGGTCGGGGGATTTTTGGGGGGAGCTTTGGGAAGGGAGTCAGGGATGCTGATGGCATCCCAAGCCCTTTCCTTTCAGTAGCACGTGCGGGATTTCCAAGTCCGGGTGCAGAGGTTTGCCAGAGGGATGGGGAAAAGAGCAGGATCAGGCCCTGCAGGTGCCCATCCCATCTCTTGGGCCGGTTATTGGCATCACCAAAAATTTTGGAAAGCTCTTCAGCTTCCTCCTGGTTGCCATCCCTGCTCCAACAGCAGGGACGCTGTTGCTAAAATCACCCCTCAATTTTGCATAGGTCTGTGTCTGCTCAGCCCTTCCCGCTCCCCAAAATGCTTGGAAGGCAAAAAAATCAGCGCTTGCATTGGGATTTTCATCAGGGAGGACTTGAGATGGGGGGTTCCAAATTCCCTCTGGGAGGAGGGAGGTTTCTCAAGCCCCGGATTTCCGCTCTCCAGCGAGGA